AAAAGTATCCCCCTCCCTTAAAGAAGAGAGATTTCTAAAAATTTAACGAGTTTAGATTAGTCCTACCAAAGTAAATATTTGTAATAATAATCAGAATTTGACCTAAACACAGATAATTTTACCAGTATGTAATTATTATTTAAACAGTGAATTAAAAAAAAATGGAATATGAATAAAAAGGCAGTGTTTTTAAGGACAAAGTGGCCTCCTTTATGGAGATCATAGGGCAGGCACAACTGACCCCCCTTCTAAAAACGCTTAGGGAGAACACTGCTTTAAACACCACAGAATAAATAACTTATTAAAAAAATCTTTTTTTTATTTATTTATTTATTTTTTTAAATTTAAAAAAATTTATAGGTTTGTAAGTCTATCTTTCCTCGATTTACATTGCTTTGTAAATCCAATACTTCCATTACTTTAAACACCACAGAATACATAATTCTAGGAAATTTTTTTCCTTTTTCTAATAATTGTAAAGGGAAATTATAAAATATATTTCCTATGAAAGTGTGCATTGTAGAATAATGGCGTAGTCACAACTAATATTTATTAGCTCATTTAATTAATGACATTCCATTTCTAACTGCATTGCAAACCGAAATAAAATTTATGACTTCTTCCCATATACACATCATCAATACTTTAATTTTGATGACGGCTCGATTACAGTGGGCGTGTTTGCGGATAACTCAATCAAAAGCGATATCGTATAATTTAATCGCTTCTTGCTTGATTAGATTTATGCAAATTTTCTGTCGAATTTTTTTAAAGCCTTATTCTAGGTCAAATTGCTGCGTATATCTTTCAGATTGTTTTTAACTCATACTCGTTGTTTTGGAATTCGACACGAAGAAGCTTTGATTGTATATGATAGTGAACCAATTCAGTTTTTCTAGCCAGGATCCTGATTTTTGAATTAAGTAAAAATTGTTTGCCAAATATTAAGGTCTGATTTTTTTTTTTTAAAGTATTTTTATTATTAGAAAGGCAAAACAGAAGAAAGTAATTTTGATCTGTAAAACTCAGATCCGAAACAATGTAAGGATGCAAAATCAATCAAATAGGGAACCATAGGCTGTTAATAAAAATAAAAAGGAAGGTTTTGTGCTAGGATTATATTCCAAATTCTGAAATTAACGAAATTTTTCTGAGGTTAGGGTTTTATGAAATGTTTCTCGTTGGAGGTTTAGTTTTTTGTGAAGAATCCTTAAAACAAAACTTATCTTATTTTTAGTACCACTGTATGTAATATAGATGTTTCGAAATAAATAATCAATCTTTGCCTTTTTTTTAAAAAAAAAATTCATTCCTTTCCCGATTTTTTTCCCTCCCTTACTGTTTGAAGTTTTTACTGAAATGGTTGTGTTATACGAATCTGATATTCGATTCTTACGAATGAAAATTGTGCCCTAATTTTCACGTAGTATTAAAAAATGCTTAGAAAATAGTCAATATATTCTGAGTGTATGCAATGAAATGACTGCTTTTTTTGTACTTTATTGGATCAATCGCCCTGGGCGGCTTCTGGCCTTCTCAAGAAACTTTTTCAATGCTAATGTTCTTCACTTTTTTTTCCCGCCCTCAGTATCAGTAGTTCGTCCGCAGTACCAGCATTTTTCTGAAGCCTTCTAACCATATTAAATTTGATGTACCTTTTTTCGAATGCCTGTTTCTCTAACGTAGATTTTTTTTTTTTTTGAAAATTAAGTTACTCAAGTTTATTGAATAAGCAATAATCAAAGTATATTCAATATAGGACCATGTATCCACTTTAAAAAAAATGTTCTTGATTTAGGAGTGTGTTATCAAATCATTTCACTTTTATTTGTTGTATCCAATAAAATGTCAAAAGAAAAATTTTTTACTGATTTTTTACACATTTGTTTTTTTTTTGTTTTAAATTATAAATTAAAAAATAGCAATACATAAATTTTTTAAAATTTATTTTTACTTAATTGTGTGAAGCATGGTTTATTTAAAGATGTTTGGTCCATTTGATTTTTTCGTGTATCGAATTTAACTTGTAATAACTTTTTTTTCTAATAGTTGGAATCGATTAGAGAAAATGTTTGGCAAATTTTACCTTGTTACATTCTTTTTTAACTAATCGGAAGGTAATCCAACTTAATAGATATTTCTAAATGTAGTTTGTATTAATCTATAATATGCCTTCAACTAATGTTTTATAATTTCATGTGAAACAAAAGAATTAGAAAATGCGAAATTAGTGTATTTTTCTTTTTTGAAGAAAAAAAAAGTCTTGTTAAGGGTCTCTTAGTACGAAATGTATATTGATGCTTTTGAGAAATTTTTTTTTTCCGGACTTGAAATATAAAAAATAGGGAAAGTAAATATTTGCTCTTTAATCTTTATCGATGTTTTCTTTTTTATCTCTGACAGTTACAGAAAGAAAATATTTTTGTGGTTTTTTTCTTCGTTTCTATGTTTTTTTTCTTTTTGCTCCACTTACGGAATTATATGAATGAAGTAAAAATCAAACGAAAGAATATTTTTTTTCTTTTTGGAATGTTATCTTATACTCAAAAGCTTGTCATGATGTGATTTGAGTCATATTTGACTTGTTTCCGTTTCTTTACAAAGAAAGTTTTTATTATTTTTGTTAAATAAATTTTAAGGTGCTTTAGTTGTTTTTTGAAGAATTTAGTATGATTTATTTTAGCCTGACATCTCTTCTCTGGCACGATATCCAACGAGATCCAACTTATGTACTGTTCATCATATCTATGCATAGATATAAATAATGGTTCAATTCTTATACTTCCAATCCATCAGTTCGAAATTGAGAAGTCAGTGTTTCGAATCGGTTTTGACTAATTCTATTCATGAGTCTTATATCTCAGTGAACTTATTTCTTCGATTTGAACCTCCTTGATGAGATTTTAACCACCTCTCGCTTAAATTTAACTAACATTTAAAAAAAAATTTAAGAGTCAAATAATAATAAATGCAGTCTATGAAACTCATTTATACTCCCGTGAAAAATGTTTTTAAACACAGTATTTTTTTTTCTTTTCGTTTGTCTGCTTGAAAAGAGACATGCAGGAAGATACAGAGTCGAATCTCGCTATAGTGAACTGTTTGCGGACCCAGTGATAAGTTGTTGGTTCCCTATATAAAAATACTTTAAAAAAATCATTTTTTAACATATGACAACATTGTTGTTAGAAATAGTGATATCGATAGTACGCAATTTTTTTTTATACATTATTAACAAATGAAATATATAATAAAATGTTAAAAAGATGGAAGAAATTAGTGATTTTCGATTGACTACAATTTGATTTTATATAGAATTTCCGGTGGTGACCAATGTAGGTAGCAGGGGTGACCAATTTCCGGATCAGCAACGGATAAAGAATTCAGTATTTTCCTGTCCTCATTTTCGACAGGGAAAACGGATATTTAATGACGATTTTACTTTTGAGATAAAATATGCGGAGTTTATTATTCTTGATTATGGAGGGGCGGGGTGTAAGAAAAAGGATGTGCTGCATTACAACTTTTTCGCTTTAGTTTTAATTTAAAAGTGAAGAACATTGTAACATGTCTATTTGGCATAATGTAAAGAAATGCCGCCATTTTCAATAGCAACTTCTTCAATTTTGAAATTAAAGAAAGTAAAGAAGAAAAAAAAAAGAAAACTGAAAATGAAATTAGAGTTCATTATAAACGAACTACCAATTTTTCAACTGTCCGCTATAAGCGCATGGAATAACATCAGAAAGTTCAAAAGAATCATGAAAGACTACTAAAATGTTTACTACAACAGAGTGTTCACTATATATACCAGGCTCATTGCAGCTGCATTTGACTGTATTTATTGAATTTCCTTGAAAGCAGTGAACATTAACTGATTGATTATTAAAAAAAATCGTAATAATTCCCCCCCCCCCGAAAAAAAGTTACAATATTTGTTATTGAACTTCTGCAATTTTTAGCTCCTCGTAATTTTTCTTCTTCAAAATGCTGTCTAATAGGCAATAGCTTTTGAATGTTTAATTTAATATTTTACTATAGAAAAGAATACTGTTTCCATGTACATGTTGACATTATATTATCACACTTAATCGCAAAAGGATCACAATATTTGCTTTTGTGACTTTTTGAAATTATTTTATCAGGTAGTCATTTTATCACAAAAAAATCACAATATTTGTTATTGAACTCCTGCACTTAAAACTCTCTGTAATTTTTATTTCGAAATGCTGTTAAATGGGCTATATTTCTTGAATTGTTTAGTTTTTATAATATTTTATTATCGAAAATAAAGACTGTTTCCCTGTACATGTTGACATTACATTACAGTAATTTTATCACAATATTAGTTAATGCACCCATGCACTTTAAACTCTGCTTAATTTTTATTTTAAAATACTGTTAAATGGACTATTTTAATATTGTACTATAGGAAATAGAACTGTTTCCCTGTACAACCGTGCAATTCGACGCAAATGCTTCACGATTGATTTCGAAAAAAGTGACTTGACAATTTTCCTTCTATTACTAATTCTGAACGCCGAAATAGAATCTCTAAAAACTGATTAAACAAAATTTATTTTTGAATTTTTATTTTATTATTATTATTATTTTTTTTTGCAATATATAGCTTACTATACAAAGATGCCAAAAATATATAAAAATCTCAATTTTGAATTTTTTGTCGCTTACGGTTATTTTTCAATTGTACGGCAGTGTGCATGATGAACGCATAATGTTAATATGTTTTTAATTGTACAAGAGAAGACTATGATGGAAAAAGAATTATTATTTTCCACCTAGAAAATATCCTTATTTTTTAATAAAGCATTGAGAAATATATATAAAAAAAAATCGCCTCTAGAAATAATTACGGAGCAATTTTTACACCGCTCCCTTAAAGATTCCGCTCTTCAATGATCGACAGAGCGCTCTTTCTCTCTGATAGGCCGTCGCGAAGACCTGAACAGCTGGGGGGTGGAGCGACAATGCCGTAGACCGCGGTGTGAGGGAGAAGGGGTGACAGAAACAGTGTGCCTGCCATTCCAAACAGCGTTGTCGTAGCCTAGTTTACAAACAAACGGGTGAAAGTGTTTTCACTACATAGCACGATTCTCAAACGGCATGCTGACTCACTGGATGCATTTATATTTTTATACCCATTCACATTTGCCTGTGTGTCAAGGATACCGAGTGTGATTTACCGGTGACAGCTTCTCGATTTGCATATATCGGATATTGTGTTTGGGAATTGAAAAGGAAATATTTTATTGATATTTCTTTTTTTTTAAATAAATACTCAATATTTTATTTAGTATGGTGCTGTAATTTAGTAGAGCTTATTGTAATTCATGCCAACAACGACGCCAAAACAAGAACCGATAGTTACTAATGGAAGTGCACTTAGCAACGATGCGGCGGTGTGTTTGTCAACATCTAACAACTCGACAAACGGCACACATATCGAACAACACCACGATGGCAAAAGTTCCAATGTGGTGGCTCCTGCTCAAGCCGTGCTGGCAGCAAGTGACAGCGTAGATACTTGTGATACCAACATGTTAATTAACGAATCTGTTATCTCCAATGGAGGTGGCATGGCCCAAAAGCATACTTCGGATCATAGTGATAATAACATTAGAGATGAAATGGCCCAAAAGTATTCCACAAATCATATTGATAACATAACTCTGAAGCATTCTTCTGATCTTAGTGATAATGGTATAGGATCTGCACCTTCTCTAAAACATCCATCAGATCATAGTGATAATAGCAGTGGATATGCAATAGCTCCAACATATTCCTTTGATCAAGATCATGGTGATAATATTATAAAAGATGCATTTGCCAGGAAACATTCTACAGATTATGGATACAATAGTGGAGATGCAATGGTACAAAAGCATTCCTCAGATCATAGTGATAACTCATCTTCTCTTAGTGATATTCATTTTGAGTCTTCCCATAAACATGGTCCAACGTCCAATTCGTCCACTTCTGTTAGATTTTCGGAAGACAGTGATAGTACTTTGTGTTCTTCTGATAACGGGTTAGGTACTTTAACTAATAGTGCTCAAAGTAATAGTAGTTCTAATTTAGAATCTCCAACTGAAGGAGCTGCTGGTGCCAATCCAACCTTGTGGTTGGGTGACGATCAAATGCTGTTGCTCCCCGGTAAAAGCAGATCTGAAGAAATTGATTCGAATTCAACCAAAAGTGAGACTAAATTATTCGAAGGTTTGTTGTCTCCCAATGGCACAAATATATTATGGGACGAGGATACTGATTGGATATTGCTATTTGATAATATGATACGATATGCTGATCGGCATCAGCGCACCACTCGATCTTGTGGCTGTAAAGGTGAGTTTTTTTAAAAAATGTTCTTTTTTGAAATAGCTGTTACATCTGTTTTGTGTTATGGAAGTTTGTTGAACATTAAATTTAGGTTCATTTTTTCGTTAAAACTATAACACTTACCTCTTACTGTATAGTGTATTTCCGAAGACCAAAATTGAAAAACGCGCGATGTAAAGATGGGTAGAACGTTATTAGTATTTTCCTCTTTTCAGTCGCCAAATACTGATCACAAAGTTTTTCATATCAGGGGTATGTTCATTAGTTTAATATAAGATGGTAATTGTTTAGTTACGATGAAAAAAATCCTTTGTTTAGTTATATCACTAAATGAATTAAGACTCAATTAGTAATTCTCTGTCGTAGTAGAACTTTTTTTTACCTTTATGATTACACTGTAGATTAGCTTTAGTTAGATACAGATGTTTATTTTCTTACGTAAGAGGTCGTATTTATACAAACTAATTCGAATGTTACTTAAGCACCTAACAGGTTAAAGGGGTTTTTGATATGCTTATTTTTGTTGACAAGGGTATAGGAGGAGTATGAGCAATGTTTATGTAAAATATTGAAATACTTTTATTTACAAAATCTTCTTAAAAAGGAAAATAAAAAAATTTAACAAAAGGAAATAATACTTAGAAAAATTTCTTATGTGGAATGAAAGTTTATTTCGGCCGATGAAAAAAATTAAAGAAAATTTGTCACGAAAGAAGTTTCAAGGTCAACAGTTTTGAACCACAAGCGGAAAATTTAAAAGATTCCAACAGAAATATTCTTCTCAAAATTTTAAAAATTAATGAAAATGTTATCTTTGTTCAATGCGAAGTTACACATTTTGATTACAGCTTAAACCGAAAAAAATATTACTGTAGTAAAAGACAAAGTTGAAGCAAAAAACAAGGGGGCGTTTCAAATTTCTTAGGTAAGCATGGGAGGGTCTTTACTTATTTTTGCTAACAAGGGGGAGTCCGAAATTACCGAAAATATGATCACGTAATATTGGAACTGCCCATAACAGAAATATCTGAGGAGAAAAGTTGTTAGCATTTAATTTTGCTGACAGGGTAGGGGAATTTAAACAATTCTTACAAAAGCTAATAAATTTTCTACATCGTAGAAAATATATTAAATTTTTTAAAAAAAAAATCAGAAGAAAGATTGCTATATAATTTTTTATATATTTTTAAACATATTTTTTAAAATAATCTAAAAAAAATATTTTGGAAAAAAATTCCATTCGAACAAAAATATCATGATATACGATGATAATATCATGATACTTGCTTACGATGATAGGCAAAAGTCGCTAGCTGCTAAAGAAAGAAAAAAAAAGAAACGCGTACGTAATATGCTGACATTACAATAAATAAGTATTTTGGGAAGGAAGGGGTTTGTGACTTCCTTATTTTTGTTGTCAGGTGGATTCCAAGCAATTCTTACATAAGCTAATAAATGCTAATCTTTAAAAATATATTGCAGGATTCGTACTTGTCCTGATTTTCTTGTTCAAAAATATTTTGTCCTCATTTATCCTGATTTTTTAGCTTTTTGTCCTGATGTTCTTGATTTTTATGTGCATTGTGTATATACGAAAAGTGTTGCGAGTTTTTAAATTATAAATTTTAAGAATCAAAAGATTTATATTTTCGATATTTTTTTTTAAATTTTATTTAATAATAGTAACTAAAATAAAATAAAAAATCAGTTATTCAAGTAGTTTATCTTATGAAAAAGAAACTTGGCACAAATTACAATGGAATTTTTTATACATTACATTTTACTATTGCAAAATCAAAAGTACTTATTTTGATATATTTTTTAAAATAGTGGTTTAATAGTCTATTGATTAAAAATAGTGGTTTCATTTCTCAATATTTTTTTTCCATTTTTATTTTGATTATGTTACCATGTATTACGTTTATCTGTTTATTTTTATATACATTTATTCTTAAGTATGTAGATTATGCACGACTTAGCTTTAAAGTAATTTATTGTTGCACGAAAATATCAATTTTCTTTTAAAATTTTATATTGAGAAATTATTTTAATTTATGAAGTCAGGAAAATTTAGGTTTCGAGATTTCTCACTGTATGTATGTATGCGCATAATTGCACCGTTTTTTAAATTCATTTCTAATTAACTTATTCCTGACAAGTTAAACGTTGAGGTTTGCTTTTTATTTCCTTTCTTCTTCTTCTTTTTTTTCTTTAATTTTTTTCTTGTAGTGGACTGGTAAAGAAATATTTTCTAAGAAATATTGTAATCCTTTTCCTTCCTTATTCCTTTTAAATATAGTTTAGTAAATATGTATTGCACTAAAAAATGAATTTATTTTTTTTCTAAAATACTCTACTGACTTCAATTTTGCACCACTGTGAAGCCTGTATATTGCACATTGCAGAAGTTTTTAAAATCGAAAAAAATTACATTAAAAAAATACATTAGCATTCATTGAAAGCTATGAATCATTAAAAATATACTTTTGTGACACTTGATTCTGCGATAATTCCCCCGATAAATTTATTATTACTATTATTTTAACTTTTACATTAATCGAATTCTGAAAATCACACTTCTTCTGATGTTCAAGTGAATAACTTGAAATTTATAGAAATAAAGTAATTGATAAAAAGAACGAAAAACAATTTATTGTTTTTTCATTTAATAAACGATGAATAAAAATCAATAATGACTGTTTCAGAATTTAAAACCTAAGAGATGAAACTACATTCAATGCACCGTAAGTCGGATAGATAATAGTAGCATCCGACCCGGAAATCAATCATATAATCAATGAAGGACGTTGGTAATGACTTTTTTTTTTCCTTCCTTCATTTTCAATTGTGAGGTAGCTTCACGCCAGCTCTTTTGATGCTACTTTACTTATACTTGTCGTAGTTGATAGTTGAATGCTGATTAAAATTGTTCTTGCTATTGATTGGTTATAGAAGTTGTATAGATTATGAGAAAAAAAAAATCAAACAGTACAGTAATCCCGAAATGTTTAAGATTTGTTAGAATTAAAAGCTATTTTTCTGTACCAAGTTATGGACATAAAGAAAGTTACTGAATTAATTTAATTATCACGTCGAATACTTCATTATTTTCCAAAATTTTCTTCAAAGCGTTGATAGGACATTATTTTAAATATTTACTTTTAATTTTCGAATACGATTACATTTTTATATAATACAATAAGAAATGTTATTTTAAACAGCTGATCATTTTTTTTCTTCAACTTAACTAGTTATACAATTGTCGGAAACCTTTTGCTAATGAGAACTATGGTGTTTAATTTGTGAACAAGAACTAAATTGCATATTTTCAAACTATTGGTTAGTGACTATTTTTTGACAGATGGGCAATTTTGTTTTTACTGATAAAAAATTATCTTGTTTGGTGATGAATTCTGACAATATATTTTGCCTAATTATGTTAATCTTTAGAAAAGAAAAGAAAAGTTTAATCATATCTTTTTTTGGAATTAATTTTGAAATTAAAGAGAAAAAAAAAGATGTAAGTATTTAAGATGTAAGTAAGTATAAGTCAAAAGAAAATATACCTACACCTTGTTAGATATTAATGAAAAATATATATTTAGTTTCCAGTCATAATATAATGCAAGAAATTATTATGAATATGTGGCATTACGGAAAAAAATAAGTCATCGAAAAAGAAAAAATAATGAAAAGTAATTGCAAATCGAAAAACGTCATATTTGTGTGTAACTTGCTTAAATTAATACGGAATTTTTGTGGATAGTATTTTAATCAAACCTAAATACTTAATGTTAAACTACTTAACTCAAATTAATACTCACAGAAAATACACACGAGAATCATAGAAAATATGGTGAATACCATCTTTTAATAATAAATTGATAATTATTGACAATATTCATGATGGTGGTGATAATTATGATTGATAATTCGAAAGAAAAACTTTTTTTTATGAACAATCCATCACCATCTGCGTTCACGTACATCAGTGATTTGACAGATAGGCGATGTAATACCTTAGGCAAAATGTTCTATTCACATCTTTGATTCAACAGAATTAAATCTTTGGGAATGCTGTTAAAAAATAAATTGAAGAAATAGCAGGGGTAAGAAAATTAAACACGAGTTTTTATTTTACACGCTGAATGCCGAGAAATTTTAAATATTCCCATTTAAGATTTAAGTTTATTGCATGTAAGGAACGAAAGGAAAAAAAGCATAAATCTTTCTTTATTTAAAGTTTATTTTCTTTTGAAACGCTAATTCTGAGTTATATAGTTGGAAAAATATATTTTTGATTCTCATGCGTGAAACCGCCCAACTAACCTTGTCAAATGGGCATAGCTTGAAAAAACCGCCAAAAGGGGGAATTTTTTTTCTTTTTTATGTGAGTATTTGTGTTCCTTATGACCTTGTGTAGAAAATATATTTTAAAATTCTTTTGTTCACGATGTTATTTTTTGCATTGCTTTATATTATATTTATTTTCTTTCTTACTATTAATAGTTGATAGTATTTGCTAAGAATGTGTAAGAAAGAGGAAGATTTGCATATATTTTCAAGTTCCTTGTATTTTATTGCTTTTTTTCTCCTTCTGACTGTAACTGTGCAAACGAGGAATAAGTTAAAGTGATTATTATCCGAATACAAACATTAGATGGCATATGCGTGAAGGTCGTTTGCATATGCAAACGATCTTGGTTTTACAAAATGTTCTTTTAACATGTGCAAGTTATGTTTGCCAGTTGTTCCAGACATTTGTCAAAATGCTTTTCAGATCTTATGAAATGTCTTTATTGTTGTAGAATTTCATATGCGTTAATAGAATTTTAACAAAAGCAATTATTATTAATAATTAAGGTTTGAAAGTGACGATAAGTAATCAATTTCGAAAATGTATAACATATATGATCGTCTTTTCAGTAATTCACAAGTTGTGTTTGTACATAAAACGTTTTTTGCATGTGAGGACCTTTTGTACAATTTTTATTAAAATATATTTA